CTTTGCTGGTTTATGGTATTTCAGCCATGATTATCTGATGGGGTTATTATTCACTACACTATCCTAATATCAACATGTGCTTCAATCTAGTCTGAAAATACTAGAGAATATCCAGATTGTCATAGTAAGAGGTAAACTGTTATACAGGAAATGTCTTGATCATCAGTGTCAAGGTCATATAGTTATGAAAGTGGCCAAGAATATTCATTGTTAGTTGCCTGCTTGTAAAAACGGGGTTTTGGTAGGCACCTCTAAGAACATTTTTCTGATACCCCTTCTGGGTTGCTTAAGTAGGTAATATTTCATAAATTAGGAAGCTCTGGTAGTGAGAGATGAAGAAGCGTAGTGTATTTTATCTCTGGATGCAGTGTCAGTATTAAAAAGAACTTAGCTACTGGTATTTTTGCAACTGTTGCAACTCGCCCATGATATGCAATACATAATCCAGTATAGGGGAGAATTCACAGCATCAAAGGCCCATGTTGAAAAATATATTTTAGATGCTTAAAAATATATTGTTCGCAAACCGCTGAGAGTGATTTGAAACTCAGAACAGGGAAAATTTTCTAAACTTCATGAGATAGCCTTGGAAAGTTGAAAGATACACTTTTTTTTTTTTTTTAGCAAATCTGGGAGCATCTTAAATGGCTTAATAAATTACAGATTATCCATTAGACCTTCTCAACTCCACACCACTCTGAACTATATTATTCTTGTTATCTTTGACCCTCAAATTTTCTTGCTTTAATGTATCTGCTGGTTTTCTTGTGGCCGCTGGAGAATTAATGGTGCACATTAATACGAATACCATGTTGGGTGGTACCACACGTGGTGGGTAGACGGCATTCCTGAGTAAAACATTCAGGTCCAGGTCCTGGCTGTACTTGAAGCCAGCTGTGCGATCTTGAACAAGTTACATAACCTCTCTGTATTTCCGTTTCCTTATCTGTAAAGTAGGGATAATAATAGTGTTTACTGGCCAGGTGCAGTGGCTCAAGCCTGTAATCACAGCATTTTTGGAGGCTAAGGCAGGAATACTGCTTGAAACCAGCCTGGGCAACATGGCGAAAACCCATCTCTATAGAAAATACAAAACTTAGCTGGATGTGATGGCATGCACCTGTAGTCCCAGCTTTGCAGGAAGCTGAGGTGGGAGGATGCTTGAGCCCAAGAGGTTGAGGCTGCAGTGAGCGGTGATCATGCCACTGCACTCCAGCCTGGGCAACTGAGCCAGACTCTGTCTCTAATTGTAATAATAATAGCATCTACGTAATAGGATTATTGTTAAGAACTAACTTGGGTAATTCATGTAAAATAATATTCAAAAAGTATGGCATATACCTGTTGACATATGTTTAATACTCAATAAATAGTAGTTCTCATATGTATTCTTAACTCTTGACAGTTGAATTTGTTGAATTTCAGTGTGTGTGTATTGTGTGTGTGTGTTTAGTGATTAGATGAGTTGTTTTGCTCTGGCTAAAACTAAAGGTAAGTTGCCTTTCTTGTACATGTTTCAGCTAGTGGGAGGGGAGGTCCTCGAGCGTGGTATGGTACAGGGGGAGTTATTCCAGGATTAAGAGAATCTGCTACAGGACAATCTACATGCAGCCAATCGAACTGGTTTGATACACTTTACGAATTGATATCTCATAGGCCTTTCCACAGACATTTTCACCCAAATGTAAAGCATCGCCGAGAGGGGAAATGACTAGAGGCTGTGGCCGAATGTCCTTAATTCACTGGTATACCTCTCCTCCGTCCAGCGCAGAAGGATACGCATATCTCCTTAATGTTGCAGGTGAGACAGTTCATCCAGAATACTTCCAGAAACTGGACTTTCTCCATATATCCACGATCAAGGAGTCGCTTTATACTACAACTTCCTCTCTTTTGGAAATGTGTATCTCCAAACCATTGCAAGTTTTATGGGGCTTTAGTTGTGTCTAAGGTTGGCCACAGGTGGGGAATGGAAGGAGAGAGTTTTCTTTGATCCATCTAATGAATTAATGAATTAACCTTAGGTGGGGTTCAGAAGCCAGGCTCCTTACTGTTGCTGAAGCAGGGCTGATTATGAGCCAGCCTAACTGCTGGAAAAATGGAGCTTCGTGCTAGAAGAATTAGGGACATGGCCCAGTCCATTCATCTTCCCTAATCGAGTTCTTGGGAAATACACACGTAGATTAGCTCCTAACAATGACCCCCGGCTGATTGCTTGGAGTACCCTCCGCGGTGCCCACAATGGTACTGACTAGCTCTTTATGTCCTGCACAAAGGAAGCCCCAACTCCCCGTTGTCCTTCTCTGCCCTGCTCCCCGCCGCTCCCCCGCCATCACCGCCACCCTCGCCAGTGGCTGTTGAAGTCATTTCTGCTTTTCTCCCCAGACTCTGAAATAAACAGTAAATAAAAGCTAACCTCACCTGGACTTATTAGGAGGAGCTGGGCAGTTTCCGAGGAATTAACTTTGGAAAACAAGGCCATAAACCCCTTAGCAGCGTGTGGGCAGGAGCTTAAGAAAACGCTGCCAATCTTTGTTTAGTGGTGATTATCGAGATCAAGTTAATATTGGGGAAGTTTGCATAAAAAGCATTCTCAGTCAGGGGGAAACAACAAATACCAATTAATTATCCCCATGGCTGCCCTCTGCTCACCACCACCTCAGCACATCAGCCACCTGGTCTATGTAACTGGCAGTCTGACCTTGTGGGTGCCACCAGGCCATTTGTGGGGCCTGGAAAGGAGGAGGAGGGGCAGAGGAGGAGGCAAAGCCTGGTCTGTCAGGGAACTCTCCAGAGAGTTCCATTTGCCCTGGATGCCAATGCCCAAAAGCCACTCTCTATAGACCCTGACTTTATTTCTTCTGGGAGCTAAACTGCTTCTACCTCCACCTCTTTGTTGCAGGATTCAGTCTCAGGGAAGGATTAAAGACAGACTGCAAGCTAAGATGGGCTTTGATTCTTTTCAAAAAGATCACGCTCTACAATAATAATTACAAACAAGCTGCAGGCAGAAAACACTGGACACGGAGTCAGTGGCCTGAGTTCTAGTTCTGACCCCTCCACTTAATAGCTTTATCACTTTGAGCCTCAGTTTCCTCTTCTGTAAAATGGGGACCAATATATCTGTCCCGCTCACCTCACAGGGTTGTAAAGATCAGAAGACATGAAGAATGTGAGAGGATTCTGAAAATTACAAAGTGACATGTCCAGAGGATTGTGTGAGCCCAGGAGTTCCAGGCTACAGTGAGCCACCATCACACCACTGCACCCCAGACTGGGTGACAGAGAGGGACCCCGTCTCTAAAATAAACAAATAATAAATAAATAAATATGATATGTGAACACGGTAAAGTGCTATTAACTTACGTTAGCTTTTTTCTTAAAATTAAAACTAATTTCTGACTTGAAGTAGTTCAGTTTTTATCCCCTATGGTCACATGCTTGCCTTTATTTCAATTTGCCTTTATATAGTTTTATTAAAAATAGATATGCCTCACGGGGAATTAATCATTGAATGATCTTTAAGGAACTGCTCTGTCCTCCGCAAATATCCTCCTAACACCAATTTAAAGGTAGGGGATCTGAGGATGTGTGTTTTCCCTCTTTTATTCCTTTGTCTTGTCCTCCAGCCTGGACGTTAAACTCCCCCAGACCAGCGGCCCTGGCCTTTCCCAGTTTGTCTGATGCCCACGACGTGGCCCTCGATGGTGTCCTGCCCTCCGAAGGGACGCAGCAAACCCTTGTCTGAACGCAAGCGGGATGAAGAAGACGCCCCTGCCGTGGAGATCAGGGTGCCGAATGAAAAGATTTTAGTTATGGTGTCCTCTAGGTCCTTGGGCTTTTATAGGAAAGCATTTTAATTCACGGTTCAGGCCACCAGTTCAGGGAAGGCCAAGGGCCCTCCTGGTGTCTCGCCTCAGATTTGAGGGGTGCGATGTTCACAGCGCCATTGTCCATCCGAGCCGCGGGAGGTGAAACACACTCACCCTCGAAAAGCATCTTTCCAAGTGGCCGATCAGTCGCTGTGGGCCACGGAAGCCTCCACGGGGTCCAAAGGAGAAGGAACTGCAAGCCGATTACTCCTGAACCCTCGGGGAGGCGCGAGGCCTCCTCCCAGGAAAAAGGTCCTTCCCCAGACAGCTCGGGGCCCTCTCCTCGTCCCGGAGAAGTGTTGGAGGGAGGCGGGAGTTCCCGCAGAACAGGGGCGAGGTGGGGAACGCCAGGTGGGTCTCCTGCGGGGCCTGAGCCCGGCTGCGCACCCGACGCGCGGTTCCCAGCTTCCTGCTGGACGATCGGGCGCTAGAGGTCACCGGACGAGTGGGCACAAACGGCCCTAGGGTAGGCGCTGGAGGGAGGGAGGGAGGGAGGCTGGAGAGCTTAAGTCCGAGGGGACTGGGAGGAGTTAAAACAGATACAGACCGACAAACTAAACGCGAGGCCTGGGACTTGGTACCACCGACCCCAGAACTGAGTGGGAAGAGAAAAGGGAGCAAGCTGGGGGAAATTCAAACTCGGACGAGTGCGGAGCTGGGAAGCCTTCGGCTGGGCCTCGGCGCTTCCAGAGGGCACCAGGCCAGCGTGGCGGCCCCGCGGAGGTGAGCCAGAGGGGGCGAGGGGCGAGTCTGCAGTTGGGGAGGAGTTGCGTCCAGGAAGGGAGGTGACCCCCAGTGGGTAGTCTGAGGTGAGAGGGTAAGCCCGAGGCAGGGGGCGACAAACGCAAGGAGAGAGATGGGCCCAAGGGCGTCGGCTCCACTGAGGCAGGACTAGAGGTGGTCGCGTTCGGGTTCCCGGGCCTTTCAAGCATCCAGCCGCAGATCCCCGGAGTGTGTTTGTAAAGCTTAAAACGGATCAAGAGGTAGGAGGGGAATGTTACTAGTGCCCGCCCGGGGGTGGCCTAGCGAGGACCCTGAGGCTGGGCCGGGCGAGGACCCGCCCCTCGGTGGAGGGAGGGGCCGAGAGAAGGGGCTGGGTCCCAGGCGAGAGGGGAGGAGCCAGGGGCCAGTTGGCTCCCTGCCTTTAGCGCCCGGAGCCCCAGCTACTCAGAGCCTGAACTTCCGACTTCTGGGACTAAGGCAGCAGCGGGCTGAGCGCTCGGCCACCCCCAGCGTGCGCAGCCCGGGCGGGCTTCGCCCGCTGAGCTTGACCTAGGGTCGGAACCCGTCGGGTTGCACCGCGGCACTCGGGAAGAGTCGACTTCGAGCCTCTCCTCTCCGTCTCCAAAGCGCCCCCACGCCTCCCCACGCTCCCCATGCACCTGCCGGGCTGTGCGCCTGCCATGGCCGACGGGAGCTTCTCGCTCGCCGGCCACCTGCTCCGCAGCCCCGGCGGGAGCACCTCGCGATTGCACAGCATCGAGGCCATCCTGGGGTTTACCAAGGACGACGGGATCCTCGGCACCTTCCCCGCGGAGGGGGGCGCCCGGGGCTCGAAGGAGCGGGATAGGAGGCTAGGCGCACGGTCCGCCTGCCCCAAGGCGCCCGAAGGAGGTGCCGAACCCTCCACGCCGCCAGCCCCGGCGCCTGTCCCCGAGTACGAAGGTGAGTGCTCACCCTTGGCTGTGCCAGGCCCTTCGTGCGCCCGAGCTTAGGAGTCTGCCCGACGAGAGCGCCCCTTCCTTAACTTTTATTAAGGCACATGGGCGCGGGGTTGGGGGCTCTGTCTGTGGCGGGAGCTTCCAGTTTGCATTCAGAGAAAGCTTAGGACCCATCGCCGCCCTCAACCCGGACCTCCCCGGGCCATCTCGGAGCCCGCAGCCGGACTGGCCAGCGCCCACGGCAAGGCGTGGTCGGCCCCGGCCCAAGGGTGCTCCGGGGAGTGTCTCTGACCCTCCCGGGCCTCGTCGCCCCAGCCCCTCGCCCTTACTGCCCCAAGGAGCCCGGGGAGGCACGGCCGAGCCCAGGGCTGCCCGTCGGGCCAGCCACCGGCGAAGCGAAACTGTCAGAGGAGGACCAGCCCAAGAAAAAGCATCGGCGGAACCGCACGACTTTCACCACGTACCAGCTGCATGAGCTGGAGCGCGCGTTCGAGAAGTCCCACTACCCGGACGTGTACAGCCGCGAGGAGCTGGCCGGCAAGGTCAACCTACCCGAAGTCCGGGTCCAGGTAAAGCGCCCAGGTTGAGGAACTGGGATCCGGGAGGGCCCGAGGCCCAAACTGCAGCTAGTGTTTCTCGGAATTCACTGGCGTCCACGCATGTATTCCTGTCCTTCCTCGACTTGGCACGCCCAGAGTCCCAAGGGAGAGGCACAGATCTTCGATGTTTGTTGTGCACTACCCTTCAGGCAGTCTGTTCCAGTTTGTAGTACGGGCTCCCCTTTGGGGGTTTTCCTCTTCTAAACTAAAAAGGGAAGACGGGAATGACTTGCAAGATGAAGAGGCCAACAGCTAGTTAGACAGAGGAAGGGGTTGGGGGCTGCTGAGTGGAAAAAATGCAGGTAGCTGCTCCAGGGTGACAGTATGGAGGCCCCAAATGCCATCCTCGTCACTAGCTGCACATACCGTGTTGAAAACGAAAACCCTGTTTTCTTGCGAAGGGCCTGGCACCTCGAAGTTGAAACTTCGTGTGGATTTGTTTAAGAAACTGACTTTTCCTTTTCTGGTGCATATCCAACCAAACTTCTCGATGCAAAGGCCTTTTCTTTTTATTATAAAGGGGTTTTCGCTTTAATTAAAGCTGAATTATCTTTAATCCCTGATCATTAAAATATTTGAAAGCCTTAAATATTTGCTAGTCATCTGTGAAAAATCTGGGAGGATTTCCAAATTGGGGGAGTTTACAGAGGGCTGAAAGAGAGACATTGGGAACAAATTTCACTGCATCTGAAAGGCAGTGGAACTAAGATGGGATTTTCGTGTGTGTCTAATAAATTAGATTTCCAGGAAATGAGAATACTCAAGTGTTCAAAGCTTTTATCCATGTCTTAAAAGTAAAAGAGGACAAGCTGCTGCTATTTTTTTTTTCTGCTTAGTTTAAGAGTTGAAAATAATGAGTAAAAGTCATGGCTTAAAAAATATAATTCCCTAATGTGACTTGGGATTAACCAGCAAGGACAGTTCAATGTCTCCTAATTTGGGGCAGTAAAGCTGCAGTGATTTCATTGAAGGGGTGGAAATTTTAGCACCTACTTTCAAGAAAGGAAGGATCGGAGAGGGAACGAATACAAGAGAAAGAGGAGAGGCAAAGCCTTCCAGTAACCTACAGAATCCAAGCAAAGCAGACTCCAGCTCCCTGGGCACATGAGCCCACTTGCATCCTCCCTCGTTGCTTGTTCAGAGGTTTTGGCATCTCTACGTTGTGAGATTCTTGAGAACAGTGGCTGTGACTTCTTTGTGACCACAGGCCAGCACAGCACCCAGCATATGGCCATTCTTAACACATGACTATGATGTAATCAGATGGACGAGATACTAGGCAGGGTCTCCCGCACGCACAGAGGGCAACAGTAGAGCATTGCAATAGCCCAGCTCCATCCTTCTGTCTAGAATCTGGGATGCTGGATCTGAAGGCTAGAGCTGATGTGGTCGGGAATGGAGTAGGACAAGCAGAGAAACCCACGAGGTGGTGGGACAGGAGCCCTCATCCAAGTCAGTGTTTCTTTTCTCTACTGTTGGCAAATATCTAATACTTAAGGGCGACTCGAGCCCTTAGCTATGCAGATGAATCTTTTAGGGGAGGGTACAGGGTACTTACGCTTTTGTCGTTTCTCTTTTTCTCCCTAATCGCAGCCTCTCACACACTTGCCCTGCTGTGCTTAGGTGCTGGATTGCTGTTTTTTTCAGCTCTCCTAGGGTGTCTTCTGCCCTTATTGACTGAAAATGCATTCTCCCTTCTGACGTTGCGATAGCCCCCCCCCCATTTCCCTTCATAAATGTAACACTAAAGCCACGAGTTTGGCTGAAGTTCTTTTGTGTTCATTACTAAACGCGTTCTCTGTCTTGCCTGTGAAGGTGGAACCAGTAGTAAATATATAATTACACATTTTCTAGTGTTTTTATCAAATCAGTAATGAAGTTTCATTGGAAGAAACCAGATGTTACTCTTGGCAAGGACTTTCTCTATATAAAGAAGAAGCAAAAAACCTTGTCATTGAGCTAAGGTCTTAGGGTAATGGCAAAATTAACTTTGTAATGTAAAATATTATACTCTTTGAAGGATTATACTCTTTGAAAGTAATAAGAATCAGCAGAAATAATAAGCAGATATCAATTAAATAAAAATAAAAATATTAAAGCAGCAATTCAAATATGCTTGGGACAAAATAAACCCACTTGCTCCTATCTAGATACCACGACTAGTAATCCGTGAAAAGAGCTGAATTTCAACACTCATTCTTGCCAGTTACTCTACCTAACAATATTTACACCTGTGTTTAGAGACAAAGGGTAGATAAAGCAAAAAAAGTCTGAGACCAAAATACAGCAATTGAGAGCTGAACCTTGCAGAGAAGAAGCAAGCCAAAACTATTAGGAGGGGCTGCCAGCCGACAGGTCACAGAAAATTGGTGAGATCTCGTTTCAAAGTTCCACGACCCGATTGCAGAGTTAAATTCACTTTTTTCCCCTGAGTTTCTGCTCCGTACTAGGAGTTGGAAACAAATACAACCACAGCCATGGGTGAGATAAACAGAGAAAAGGGGGGGGACGCCACGGAGAACTAGGATGGGACAAAGAGACTCAGCAGAAGCCAAAATGGAGAGAAGAGGCGCAAGAGAGAGAGAGAGAGAGAATGGAAAAGAAAAGAGAATGCGGGTGGGAGGGGTCGGAGGGGGTGGAAGGAAGGAAGATCCGGGCCCAGCTCGGCAGGTGCGTGACAAATGCACCCCTAGTTTTATTTGAGGGGGAGAGAGTGGAGCCGGCCGGGCTGCGCGGGCTCAGGGTCTGGGACGCCGCCGCAGCCTCCGCTGCCGCCCGACGGCCCCTGCGCTCTCTCCTGCAGGTGTGGTTCCAGAACCGACGGGCTAAGTGGCGGAGGCAGGAGAAGCTGGAAGTGTCCTCCATGAAGCTGCAGGACTCGCCCCTCCTCTCCTTCAGCCGCTCCCCGCCCTCGGCCACGCTGTCGCCTCTCGGGGCGGGCCCGGGCAGCGGAGGCGGGCCGGCGGGGGGCGCGCTGCCGCTGGAGTCCTGGCTCGGGCCGCCGCTGCCGGGCGGGGGCGCCACGGCGCTGCAGAGCCTGCCGGGCTTCGGGCCGCCGGCGCAGAGCCTGCCCGCCAGCTACACGCCGCCGCCGCCGCCCTTCCTCAACTCCCCGCCGCTGGGCCCCGGCCTGCAGCCTCTCGCGCCGCCGCCGCCCTCCTACCCGTGCGGGCCCGGCTTCGGGGACAAGTTCCCGCTGGACGAGGCGGACCCGCGCAACAGCAGCATCGCGGCGCTGCGCCTGAAAGCCAAGGAGCACATTCAGGCCATCGGGAAGCCGTGGCAGGCCCTGTAGGGGCCCTCGGGACCGTCTAGGGAGCCGACCCCGGGCCGAGCGCACCGTACCCGCATCTTCTCTCCCAGGGACCCCCAACTCGGCCACTCTTTCCCTGTCGCCTGCCAGCCGGCACCCCGCCAGGCATAGTTCAGGGCCGGGCGCCTGCTCCCGACGCACGCGGAGAAGGGTGACTTTCAGGCCGGAGGAGAGGCCCTCTGGCCGCCTCCACGCACTTCGCGGACCTCAGCCCTGGAGGGCAAGAGGCTGCCGGGCCCCGCCGGCCACGCTGCTCCCATCCCCGAGGGTGCTGGAGCCTCCAGGCCCAACAGGCTGAAGCTCCTGAACTTGGCGTTCCCAGGAGGCTTGGAGACCCCCAGATAACCATAACAGGGAAGAAGGGGAGGTGGAAAAATAGTTTGAGGAACTTTTGTATCAGTAGTTTCCAAGTATTTGAGAGGAGAATTAAAGACCTGCTTGTTTTGTTTCGAATCTGTTTAAAGCACGTTCAGGACTTGGGGTGAGGAATGAATACGGGGGTACGGGAGGAGGGTGCGCTGATGGGCAGGGTGGGTCAGGGAAAGCGGAGGACTGCGATGAAGCTGAGTTCCCTTGTGAAAATTCTGGGGACACTTCGCTGCCGCAGAGAATCGTTCCCATTCGGAAGGCTTCAGCGACCTGGACGCGAGGCGCCCCTCCCTGGAGCGGGCGGGCGCACGTGGGTCCGGAGTGTATGGAACTAAGGCTCAGCCGCTGGCGCGTTCCCAGTTAACACGCTAGCCCCATAGTCCAGCAGCGGCTGATACTTCAAAGTCTGACTTTAATAGAAAGCGTCAGGACCACCATCCCTAGGGGGAGAGCCCCTGGCGTCCCCGCTCCCCTAAGAGCTCCTCTCAGTTCACTTTGCAGATAGATCTCCGGTTCGGTGCCAGTCCCTGATACCCAGGGTTGATGATTAGCGGTACAAGAACTGAGGCAAAGAGATGCTTTTCCTTTTCGGAGCGGCGAGACTCTGTTACCTCCCCAACCCACCGCACACCCGCCAACCCAGAGTTCGGTAAAAGGTGCGGCAGGTTAGGTGCCGCTCTAGGACAGTGTCCCGGAGCGCCCTGCTCCACCGCCCCGAGGGCTAATTCTTGCGGGCTTGCCCTGGACAGTATCTGCAATTCTTTGGCTCCGGCTCTAGGGCGGGGAAGGAATCCCGAAATCTCAGCCCGCTTCACAAGCTCCTGAGACTCGGGGGAGTCAGGGACTCCCTCCTGAGCGTCCTCGGCATCCACCGTTGACACTGGAGATGCACCACCTCCAGCAGGTTGCCCGCCAACAGGTCCTCGGCCCCCGGTCCACCCCACAACCCCGGTCCCTAAGCGTGCCTTCCGAATGATGCCGCCAGAGCCTTAATTAGCGTCAACTGGCTACTGTCTGTTGGTGCTGAGCAAATTAGCGAAGCTTCCAGTCCCCTTTCCTCGTCTAAATGAACCCTATCTCCCTGGAAGGTGGAAAAGATGAAATAAGATCGCCTGTAAAGGCTTTATGTAAACTACCAAGACCCTGGCATGACGCAATATGCATTGTAATCACGGTTCCCGTTTACCCGAAATATTCCCTGGCTGTTCTCCGGTTCCTGAAACCGACTTGGGAAAAGGATGACCACGCCAGGGCTAGGAGTAGGGAACTCTCCTCATTCAGTCCTTTCTTTGCCGGTCCTAAGAGGCTATTGTGTAACCAGGGCTGTGTACCCCTAGACCTCCAACGGGTGCCTTGCATGCAGTAGGCTGATCAGTAAAAATTTTCTGAATAAATTCTTTTCCCCAAGTGGTCATATCTGCACTTTACCTCACAAGGATGTCTCCCTGGGGGAGATGGATGGAATAGCCCACGTGCTACTACCTCTTAGCAAGACAAAAAACCACCGGAATGAACGTGTGGTTGGCCTATCATTTGTTTCATCCTTTCATTCCCTAGGGTTGATTTATTTACGGAACTTCCAACTTCATAGGCTCCAAGTGAGTACCACACTTGCTCTGTCCTCCTTCTTACTGCAGTCTTGGGCACCTGTGACCTTGAGCAGCCCACCATCAGCTTCTTCACTTCCCTTAGAACATTGCCAAGATTATTCATTTTGTCTCCTCTGTGCTGTTTTTCAATTATTTCCTTATGAGTTTTTCTGCTACCTCCCCTTCTACTGTTTTCTTCTACTGTTTGGTTTCAGATGAAAACAGATTTTCTTCTAAACCATCATCAAGAGAGTGAGCCATACACGGATTTCAGAGACAAGCCCTTGGAAAATGATTCAGTAGCTAATGATTATTGAAGGGTGACTGTGTGCCCGCACTTTTCTGAGAAGTTTACAGCTACTAGGTCAGTTAAGTCTCATCACAATCCTACCAGGAAGATACATCAGCCCCATTTTATCAATGAGGAGGCTGAGGAACAGAGAGGTTGTCCCAGTTTACACTGTTTCAAAGTGTTGGGGCTGAAATAACCAGAAGTGTCCATCATAGGGCGTGTTGGGAAAACATTGCTGATAAGGGCTCCTTATTTCAATTCTAGGACAGCTCATTAGGCCATATTGGGAACTAAGATCCTGAGCGGTGGGCACTAGCTGTGCTTTCAAAGGCCTCCTGAAGAGATCTGCGCACAGCATCTGCCCCAGGGCTCCCCCATCCCCAAGCCCTGAAGGGCAGCTCTGAGTGTGGGAGATTCACTGCCAGCCCAGGAGTGGGGGTGCAGATGGGGCGGGAATCCAGTTCTTAACTCTGGCTGGAGGTGAGCAGCTTGTGATAAAGAGCATTAAAGCCGGGACGACCCTGAAACACTTGGGGCCTCTGCTCAAGCTCATGGCAAGAGAAAACACTTTGCAGAAGTGCCGGCCGATGCTGGGGCACAAGCTTCCAAAACTGGACGGTTGGTTTGGTCTAGGACGGGCATAAGCCTTTCAGGGACCCCGAGGGAAGCCTGCATCACTTTCCCGAGAATCACTTTCAGTGGTTCTTGAATCTTCCCTAATGAGGCAGCAGGTTTGGCTCAGGTGATGCCGCTAGTGCCCACAGAAGGAAAACAAGAACCACATGGGTCTTAAGAGGTTCTAGAAGAAAAGGCGCCGTGCTGCTCCAAGCACAGACCTAGATTGAGGCGAGCCTCGATTGGCTTCGGTCAGTTTAAGAGGCCTGGAGATCCTTCTTTCCCAGCCCCCGACGACATCTGCTCTGGCCCGCCCTAGGAGGAAAGCAAGCAGGTCTGTAGACCGGTGTCCTCTTCTGCTCTTGCGAAGCGGGTTGCGCGGGGCCTGGGCGGGACTCCCACACAGCGAGGGCGGGGCGGAGAAGGATGCCGAGGATTGGACCGCGCCGAGAGAAGGGCGGAGTCAGGCACTGCTGGAGAAGTGGGGCGCTGACCTCCCTTTGAGCCTCAAGGGTTCTCCGCTGACCCCGAGAGCTGGAGACTGCCGGGTGCAGACCTCCCCCGCGACCCAGGCCACCATCAGCCAGCCCTACGGTAGTTTTTGTTTTGTTTTGTTTTGTCGGAGACAGGGTCTCGCTCTGACGCCGAGGCTGGAGTGCAGTGGTGCAATCATAGCTCACTGCCGCCTCGACCTCCCGGGCTCAAGCGATCCTCCCGCCTAGGCCTCCCGAGTAGCTGGGACCACAGGCGCACACCACCATGTCCGGCTGTTTTTTCTTTTTTCTTTTTCTTTTCTTTTCTTTTTTTTTTTTTTTTTTTTTTTGGTGGAGACAGGTGTCTCACTATGTGTACCTACGCTGGCCTCGAACTTCCGGCCTTAAGCGACCCTCGCACCTCGAACTCCCAAGCACTGGGATTACAGGCATGAGCCACCGCGCGGGTCGGAGCATTTTAAGTTTTGCGTTTTTTCCTAGTCTCTGCACTCCAGGACAGCCTGTCCATAGTACTCGCCACAGCTCTGGCTTCCTTTGGCTATGCTCACAGCCCAATTTCTTTCCTGCGCTGACTCAGGGGACTGAGGGCTTAGCGTCTCTGGATTGGGGTTGCTCGGCTCCAGAGGCTCGAAGTTAACAGAGCAGCCGTAGGATCGCGGAGGAGCCCTGGCTCCTTGTCCTGAGGTTCGACTGCGGCCCTGGACGGGTCCAGGCTGTGTATCCCTAGCGTACTTCCTAGTTCTGAAGCCGGTTCTGTCCCTTGCCGGTCCAAGCCCCCACCTGCGTGGCTCAGGAGGGTGATCCGAACTGGTGAGGGTGGGATGGAGGAACAGGAAGAGAACCCCCAAGAGGGGTGAGCTTTGGCCAGAGGTCGGCAACTAAACTGGGACCACCCTACTGCATTTATTTATCCTAAATATGTATTTAATGTTTGGGGAATGGGAGTTGTCAAACTAATGGAGACAATCCCTGCCTGTCCCCGACCCCGCCCCAGTTAATTGAGAATCTGGTGAGGGTAAAGAGGGAATGCCAATTCTTCCCTCTCTAGTCCAAATTCACGGGCTAGTTAAAAGTCTTTGTGGAGACCTCCAGAGCACACGCGCAGGAAGTGGGGGGCGGGCACGGCAAGAGAGACCACGACCCCCAATTCAGCTTCCAGAGAGAGCACTCCCCACACTTCGGATCGGCTTACGGTGAGGGCACCCTAGGTGCAGACCCCAGAGGCCTGGAGGCTTTAGTATTTGAGGAGATGCTCTCTCGGTCGTCCACCCCCTGCAGCTCAGCCCCTCACCCCAGGCTCCCCCAGTCCGCTTCTCCAGCCTCCATTCTAAGAGCACCTTCTTACCAACAGAATTTTATTACATGAATGGAATCCAAGCCTCCAGAAGGTGAGCAGAAAAAGACTTTCAGGGAAGATGAAATTAAAAATTAATTTATTAAAAAATACAATTAAAGTAATTAAAAGCTGCACTTCCTCTCTGCTCAGGTGGCCGGAGCTCCGCGGACACCCTTGGTGCCTTCTTTCCCTCCTGGGAAAGGCAGACCCCGCAGTGCCAGACAGGCGCACCCGACCCTTGCGGAGGCTGATGGTGCTCTCTGTGAACTTGTCTTCTCTTTTATTGGGGACTAGCTCCAATAATCTGGTCTCCGCTTGTTAACTGTACAATAGTGGGCAGAGTTAATGACTCATTAGTGATTAATGCCTTTACCACGCCTTAATTCCTCGCTGTAAAACTCCTTTGGTAAACTGGATTAAATCATCTAGATCCTTGGCACGTCTCCCCCAGCCCTGGTGGACATGGAGACTGCCGGGTTCCCCAGCACCCTGAGCCCCACGGCTTTTTAATGGCAGGTGCAGTGGCAGCTCCTCTGCCTGGGAGTCAGGAAAGCTGTGGCCCCGTCGTGACTGGGACCTTAAACAGGGTACTGTCAGCAAACCTCACTGGAGCACTGGGTCTCCAAGTTCTCTGCTCCCTCCTTACTTCACCTGAAGGTGAAGGTAGACACCTAAATGTGACAGCTCATTTCAGAAGCGGCTTTCCTCTGCTCTGTGCCTAGTATAAGGGTGTGTGTTCAAGTTAGTGGGTTCTAAATGAATTGCATACAAGGATGTCTTCCTGTTCAAAGTTGTCTACAAAATGTTTTCTCCAATCCTAGCAGTGGCTGCATTCTATAATCTCTCCAGGGATATATATATATTTTTAATGTGTCTCTAGTTGCATTTCTTTCCCATACCATCTTAATTTCCTGCTGTCTTTATCTAATCTGCAGGTTGTTACAAAACTTGGTGGGCCTAGCCGGGCATTACAGCTGAGTGGGTGCCTGTAGTCTCAGCTACTCGGGAGGCTGAGGCAGGAGAATTGCTTGAACAGGGGAGATGGAGGTTGCAGTAAGCCAAGATTACACCACTGCACTCCAGCCTGGGTGACAGAGCAAGACTCTCTTTCTTTCTCTCTCTCTCTCTCTCTCTCTCTCTCTCTCTCTCTCTCTCTCTCTCTCACACACACACACACACACACACACACACACACACACGCAACCCATGGTGGGCCTGTAATGATAAAGTCCCAACACTCAAGCAGCATGGCCTAAGGAGGGGAAATAAGAACCCAACTGCATGTAAATTCCCAAATGCCTACTGGTTTTCTCCACCTGAGCATCCCAGAAGCTATCCCAAAATAAATGTGTTCAAATAAAAACTTTTTTTTTTTTGCTCTGTGGGTTCCTAAAATCTCCTTAAAAACCCTTGTTGCTCTTTCAGCATTTATATGCATCCAATGGATATGATGAGAATAGTTCTTTTTTTAGAGTAATTCTTAACCCCTTGAGGCAAATTATATCCCAATTTCCTTTCTGCCTTATTTCTCAGCCACATATCTTCCAAAATTTAGCTGATCACTTGGATGTCTTGAATAAAGACATCTCCCAGCCTCCCTTTCTATTAGATGTGATTAAATGGTGAACTATGTGGTCAGGAGTTCGAGACCAGCCTGACCAACATGCTGAAATCCAGTCTCTACTAAAAATACAAAATTAGCCGGGTGTGGAGGCATGCACCTGTAATCCCAGCTACTCGGGAGGCTAAGGCAGGGGAATCGCTTGAACCTGGGAGGTGGAGGTTGCAGTGAGCCGAGACTGCACCACTGCACTCCAGCCTGGGTGACAAGAGTGAAACTCCATCTCAAAAAATAAATAAATAAATAAAAATAGTGGCCTATGTTATTAAGAAAAAACCCTTCTCTTGCCCCTCCCCTGCAGTCTGTTGACTCTGATGCAGGTGTGATGCATGTGCTGGGGCAGCCATCTTGGCCCATGCCATGAAGCCACACGGTGAGGATGTTGAACAACAGCATAGAAGAGATCCAGATTCCTAGCTGGGCTCAGTGGCTTGCGCCTGTAATCCCAGCAACTTGGGAGGCCTAGGAGGGGCAGATCACTTGAGGTCAGGAATTCGAGACCAGCCTAGCAAAGATGGTGAAACCCCATCTCTACTAAGAACACAAA